AACACATATGGGCAGCATGCATAACAAAGGAGAGCCACACAGAAAGAATTAGTCAGGGTAACAGCTGTAAGGACATTGCCAAACAATGAGCGATGCCAGGGAATACTGAGAAGATAATGAACGGAAAAATGTAAACACTGGGTGAAACGACAGAAAATTATACCACAGCCCAAACACAGGCTGCCTCACCTGGATGTATGTGATTATAGGAACACAGGACTGGATGAGGAGTCAGTCCATTATACTTTTCGTGTGACCAGACGATTGCCTCGGAGGGAACGAGCAACAGGCCGTCAATATCATACAGAAACAGCAGCTACAAATTAATTCAATCCAATAACCACTCCTGCTCTCACCTGCTGCAACACGCTCTACAAGCACTCGCAATCTACCAACGAATTCTTTCCGCTCGGAGTTGAGGGGTGGAAGGTGCGCACAGAGGGGTTTGTGGGCTTGATGTTGTGATTGTTGTGTAATTGACAGGTATGTTCAAATCCAGTGTCTGATGCAAACATTGCACCACACACTCCCCTACTTGGGTTAGACAACTAGCATGTTTGCTGCTTCCTGGAACATGAAAATACATGCCAAGATGACAGGGCTATTTGGAGATGACAGGGTTATTCATTTGGTTAAAAACACATTGCGTGCAGAATAAAATTGATCATGCATTTGTGTATAATAAATGTTATTCGGGGGACGTTTTTTGTTTTGTTTTGTTTTTTTAGTTGAAAAAAACAACAACTTTGCTTTCTAAGCAAGGAACCAATTGTAACTTATGCCACGATGAGGAAGAAAAGCTTTCTCACTTTAGTCAATCTGCTCGTATTTTGCCTGATGAGAGAAAGAGAAAAACAGATCAAAGGCCAGCAGTTGTCATCTTCTTTCTTTGTTGCTGCTGGCAATGAGATGCAGGAGCTGCAAGCCTTGAAAACAGCTGCCCTGAAGCAGACTGCAGCTCACAGCTGTGCGTCAACTCTGCTTTCTGCTTCACTTGTGAAAAATACTGCAGAACTACACAAGGGTGTTATCACACTTTAACATTTGATCTAAGTCATGGATATCATACTTCACAATGTGGTTCTCATTTTCTCTCACTCTCTCTCGCTGTATGACAGGTTTCAACCCCTCGACCCTGGTAAGCCTGAACATGATAGTGGGGATGGATGGATGGATTTTCAAAGTAATATACTGCAGTATTTGATGCATTGTTAGTGCTGTTACAGTCTTCTTGGTCTTCAGCAATCATGAACTTGCTTTAGAATTAAAATAAATCACAGTAAATATCAAGTTTGCAGTATTTTAACATGTAATTTATGTTTTATTGCATGTTACTCCACTTTACATGATTATAGTGCCAAACAAAAAAAATATATATATACCTGAAAATGAAAAAGAATTTAAAAAATCAAATGAGAAAATTCTTTATTTATCCTGATTCTAGTTGCTTAAATATGATTATTTACTGTTTTCTTAGTCCTCCTTACAGTAAACTGAATATTTGGACTGTTAGTCCTCATCCTAATGACACACAACAAATACCAAATAATGTTTATTAATTTAAGCAGCAATTACATATCAGAGAAGCTAAAAACAATTGCATGTTGTGTAAAATGAAAACATATACTTAATCCATCCATTCCTCCATCACCAGTTAACCTAACATGGATCTCCCTAGACTGAAGGAGAAAACCCACACAGGCACAGGCAGAACATGCAAACTTGATACTGAAAAGCTCCAGCTGCTCAAAATATATGCTTTTCTTTACAAATTGCAGCTTTCATCTGTGTATAGTCCACATTAATAATTGAAAGCAGTCTCTTTCCCAGTGTCTGCTAGAGTGCCTCTGCTTCCTGAGAGTGAGCGATACTTTAAATTAGGACCTGAGGCCATTATGAACTCATTAAAACTGTATAGGTGAAACTAGGTGCTTCTGACTGGGCTCCCCCCAGTACTCCAGTACAACACACAAAAAGCTTTAAATAAAATAGAAGCACATAAAAATAAATCTTCAGGATCAAAGTGACCCTGAAAATAATAAAAAACTGAAAATCCCAGAATTCTACTCATTCTGCACCTCACAGCAAATAGAAAATTCAGCAAGTAAGCTAGTAGATTTTTGACACTGTAGGGAAATTAATAGAAATCACTGGTTGCCTGGAACACTCATGCGGCACGTGTACAGGTGATTTGTCATAAAAGACTGAGCACATGGTCTTTACAATGATGAGATGAAATTTAGTAAATCACCAAAGCAAAAGAGAAAATCCACCATAATAAATTAATATAACCTTTATCGCCAGCACAATCCCTCTGTCAAGATATATCAGAGTCTTTCAGTTAAGAACAGCCACCTTCATCTCTCTCTATTCGAAATGCCTGTTAACAGGAATGAAGTCAGTGATTGATTTTACCTCTCTAATCTCCTCTCTCTATTATGAAGAGATTTCCCCTCTGCACCTGAGGCCAGCATGCTCGTCTTATTTCTTATCTACCAGTGAGTACAGTAGCCACTCTCAGGGGGCTGTGCTAACCCCAATCAGCCAGACAATTCTCTCTCTCTAACACACACACATCCACACCCCCCCCCACACACACACACACACATATTCATGAAGAGCCAGCAGTCTGCCAGACGGTGCCCTGAGCTGCCTGCAAGCAATGTGAGACAGACAGCCAGAGAGGTAAAACCAGACACAAAAGCAGCTCAAATCCACGACAGTACAGTGACAAGAACACTGTAGTATTCTTTTAGCTAAATTATCACATTTTACATCTATAAAAAGAAAGAAATTGCTGATATTTGTAATACTTTACTTGCCACAGAGCCCTTCTGCAACTTTTAGCTGGAACATGTGGGAGTGAAGACAATAAATCTCTCAGGCTCTGACATGATTTTGCTGTGACACCATAAATCATCCTCTCTCACTATGATTAACCACCTCAGTTCACGGCGTGCTGACATGGAGCTGACAGTGATGGGAACAAAGGAGGACACAGGACGATTGCCTAAAGATGGTCAGGGTACAGATAAACATCAGACAGGAAGTGGAAACAAAACAATTACCCCTGCCGTTATATGGAAATATAGTAGAAAGGAGGGGCAGTATGTGGGTAGAAAACAAAAAACTTATGTTTGACCATGCCATAAAGGTTTGTATGTTAAATACAGGATATAACAGACTTACGTTTTTGTTTAGTTTTTTCTTCAGATGACATTCACAGTCAGCCACATAAAGAATGTGTATTCAGCCTTGTCTAAGCCAATCCATCTGTTTTCTGACCCTAACTCAGGAATCTGAGCAGCTTACTTCAGCGGATGCTGCTCACTGGATGACGACTAAACTACAACATCAGGGGAACAAGATGTGGATTTGAGCCAGATGTAGTAACATCATGGTTCCCTCAACAACAAACAAAAAACTTGTTCTCACATGGCTTTGAATGGCCTGCAATACAGACCTTTACTCATATGAACCCTTAAGCTAATAAAAGAAAATAATTTTTTTTAGAATCATTTAGTGCTTTTTCTAGTTTTAGCTTGATTGTGATAACTGAAATGAAAATTGTACTTGCCTACCTGAAGTTTGAAATTATATATATATATATA